AATAATTTAATTTTTTAATTTTAATTTTAAATTATATACCAAGATTGTTTTTTTTTTTTCGTAAGTACTTTAAACAATGTTTTGTTTTTAAGTTTTTATAGAATAAACACCTAAAAATAAAGAATTGATTCTAAAATTCTATTAAGTACCTGTAATGACCAGTCGCCAGTTTGCTTATTATATATTGCCGAAAATCTTTGGTCCGATGTATATGTACTTTCCGATACTGTTAATAGGTGCAAATCTCTGTGTCTTATCCAAGATACCTGAAATTTAAAAAACTCAATCAAAGCCACATTGTATTTATTTTATTTGACTCTATTACTAACCGTTTTGTTGCCCAGATTTTTTATTCGACAATTTAAATGTCCAGTTTTGCCAACGAGAGACGTTACGTTTTTGGTGGCAGTCGTATCGAAGTAGGGTCCTCTATCAATATATTTTACTAATTGTTCCTCATTAAAATTGAAACCATGCTCTTCGTCGCCCAGCATCAGCATATCCGTCACATTCATTTTTGGAACAAAATGTTTGCTTTGGCATAATGTTATTCTAGAAAACACTATTAGAGAAACATTGTAAATAATAATGAGATTTTACTATTGGAGAGATTATTATTATAGTTGGTTGCTTTATTATCTAATCTATGTAGCAAATATGTAATATGATTAACAAACTTTTCATTCACTGCACCATTTATCCGCAATTTTCTCATTTATCCACTTACATATATATACAATATAGAGTAGATTTCGAAGACTTCGCAGCTTAATCATTTTATGATTTATTCTAAATATATTTATTTAAACATTTAAGTTTTTGGTTTTGACACTCAAGACGAAATGTATGTAGTCCTGAAGCCAGTTTACATTATATCTTGACTTCGGGCATGCGCATTGTCTAACGAATATACGCAAAAGAATGTTTACATATTCATTCAGAGTAAATATTTTCGAAATCCCACATATTATAAAAGATTGAGAAACAAAATATAAATAATAACTAAAGCAAACTAACAAAAATCTATTAAAGTTTAAATTCTAAAATTGATTAACTAATCTAATTTCTTTTACAAATTTTCTTTTATTATTTTAAGCTTACCTAACTTTGATTAAATAAGTTACTCTTAAATATCAGAAAAATTAAAACTATCGAATAATTTTAATAGTATTCGTATCCCTATAAATAAAAACTCTTTCAAAATGAACATTGCAATCATCAAAATTTCGAATTTAGAGATCAATGTTTGACACTTTATTAAGCTCAAAAGCTCCTTGTACCGCATTGTAATATTTAGAGATAACGAATTTCCGTCCCATACCTTATCTACAAATTATAAATACGTACAAATATTCTTCTGACAAAATTGCAATTTAATCACATATAAAGCTATAAAAAATTTTAATAGCCTAAGATCTATCTACAGGTAGTTTTTATACTCGTTTTCGTATACAAATAGTGTTTGTATGTTTTTCGTCTTTGTGATTGAGAGATAGGTTGTTTGGGAACGTCAACTATGTGTGTGTCAATAGTATATGGCATGTTATAACTAAGAATTCTGCTACATGCTATTGGCTCCAGAAGGTATCAAATTTAAAATATGAATATATAGTCGACAATAAATGCCAAAATATAACAAGTCAGAAAGCTCTAGTTGGCACTGATCAATTTCGAGATACCCTGAGCTCTTCGAAGAGCTAATATTGCAATCATTCTACGCTTCTTTAATGCATACACAGCATGTATGCATGTCTTCACATATTCATACGCAGGCAAAAGTTTTCATAGAAGAGGATGGATTTGGGGTCGGTGTCCGAAATAAAACTAAATTAAAACTATATAGAAACCCTAAAAATATTTTTGCCTAGCCAGTCGAATTTCTGAGACCAACGCTTTACCACTTTTAGACTCAGCTCGTCGCCTTGATTGAGAATGTACCTACATATGTATATTCATTATGGGAGCTGTCATGTCTCTTTCTGCCTCTTACATATATATATGTACATACATATGTATGTGTACAAACCAATGCGTTTAGAGTATACATGAAACATGTTATTATTATCACATGTTCGCGTGTATATGCTTGTCAAACTATGAAGTACAAGCTTAACTAATTTGAAAATAATAAAAGAGGGACTATACCCAAAATCGGTAATCAAATCCTTTGTTTTTATTGACAGAACGTAGCTTTTGCGGCATACAAGCCACGCTTCAAGACCTTATCTTTGACTTCTTATCGATTTTTATCGGAATGTGTTTATGAATATGAGTTAAACTGTTTAAACTGTGTACGACTACTATGCAGGCCTAGCAGACGACGATTTCCAAAGAATTGACGCTATTCGCCATATTCGTTCGTCTAGTCGAAAAAATAACTATGTTATGATAGTGTACAAGCTTAATTCTTCTCAGACAGACATTAAGGATGCTGTGGAATTCAAAATGAAAAAGTGATCTATTGACAGCAGAGAATCAATAGCCTCCCAAAACTACATGGATATACCAAACTCGCACTCTTATGCAGACAGGCAAATATATGTGAGTCAACAGTTATCGATACATTTTTGTCTTGTTTTCAATGGTCGAACAACGCCTGTTCAATGTTTTACTGCATATAATGATTAATTATTTTGCTTGGTCGTTGCTGTAACATTAACCACGCAATGCGATTTTCATAAATTTATTGCTTGTTTCTTTTTTCATGATGTTTTCTTATACCTTTATAATTTAATATTTTTCATTAATGATATAATAAAATTATAATAATCCATTTTGACGTCATATTTATTGTCTATCAATATTAAAAATTGTCTTGAAGCATTCAATAATTTAAATAATTCCGTATTTATTCATCTATTCCTAGTTTGATACAAAATGCATCTGCTTATGCGAAGTTTCGCAGTCAAACGCGCTGTTTATTGAATTTCGTTCCATTTCATCGTTTCAATCGTTACGCCGCTCATTGTAGTATCGTACACGCACAAAGTGAAAAGTAACTTTTATCGATGTTGTCTGAATTGTAATTTCTTTGTGAGTCCTCAAATGTAAACCTTAACTACAGTCGATTGTATTTGTAATTCGCAGCTACGATACTTTTTTTTTTTTATAATTAATAAACTTGTCCATTTGACGCTTGGTTTGTAAAATTAAACTAAATGCTAAGCTACACGCACATCAATTAAAATTTGTTATTACTATTACAAGAAAGCCAATAAAAATCGAACATGTAAATATTACTCATGTATAGCAATTTTTCTATTTGTAAAGAATTACAACAAATGGTTGTATGAAGTGTAAATAACTTTTGTGCAAATAACATATGATTATTGTATCTATAAAATGTATATATGTACATGTGGCTTAAGTGTTCTTATATAGTGCTCATGAGTTCATTCCATTTAATGTGCGCACGAATACTTTTCGGTGCGCTGTGTTCTAGCATGAAAATTTGCCCTGTCGATGGGCGAAAAATCGTGAAAGATAATTTTGTCGTGCGGTGCTTTGTTCAGCTCAAAAATTAGTTGCCTTTGGAGCGATACCTAAATCTTCCTTCTTTTTTATATTTTGTGCCTTGCCCTTACAACTTTGCACTTGCGCCATACACCATCTGACGTTTTCGCTCTTTGCTCTTGTATAAGGCGATCCGAAAGAGATGTGTACCACGAATATAGGCGATAATTTTTAGAAAGTCTTATCCAAATTGATATACCCTCTATCCCTACTAATCTTTTGACGACAGTCTCGGTTTCTTCGGGGTTAAAGATTTCAGCAAAAATCATTAATTCTAAGCGTCAAGAAAGACAATATCGATATTTGCAATTTGCAGAAGAGAATCTGTCTTCTTTCGTAATTCGGGGTAGTTTCTTTCACCGTTTATCTTTAATATAGTGTCGTCATTGTGTCAAGCGTTTATGGTTTGTTATCGGTTATCGACTATCGGCACGTAAGTTTAGAAAGGTCCGGTGATGTGTTTTGTTGTGGAAATGGTGGAATCTATTACTTTTTAATCGATCTTGAGGCTGCTTTGACGACAGCTAAACCGTTCCCACAGTTTTATGCCCTGAACCCATGAAAAGGGTATAATGGTTTTGTGAAAAGCATGTAACAGACCTCATAAAGAATATATATTCTTAATCAGGAAGACTAGCTGAGTCGATACAGCGCTGTCCGTCCGTATGAACGCCTAGATCTCAGACGCTATACGTGCTAAAAAAAATATAATTTTGCATCTATACTCGTGTATACCATGCGCAGCACAAGTTAATCATATTTTTTGGATAGCTCATCCGATTTCTTTTTTTATCGAGAAAAATCGATAATTTATTTCGTTTTTTCAGCGTTATTCCAATACTATTAGACCTGGAGACTTCAGATAAATTATGTATATACATATGATGAATACGAAGATTTTGTATACCACGCTCCCTTCGACCCTAAATTGAAAAAAATAAAATACGTATTTCAAGTTCTAGTACATATGCTTCGGAATATATAAACATTTGAACATTATGATCACGTTCTGAAAGTTTCATGGAGATAGTCCTACTACAAGAGAAGTAAATTCTCAAAATATTGCGCACACTGCAGCGCAGCCCAACCGCAGTTGCTTACTACGCAGTTAGCAGAGCGCGTGCTTATTCGTAAGTGTGGATGCATGTGTATGTATGTGTGCATAAAAGAAGTGCAGAATAATTAAAATATCAGCTTGGAGAGTTCAGGGTATCTCCTAGTCGAGCAGTCTTGACTATAGCCTTCATACTTCTTTTTACTTTTATATTCCTCCTCTAACGTACTAACCAAGAAATAATAGTCCAATGACTATGAATTTCCTATTAATAATTTTCCTTATCTATTTAGATATTTAAAGTTCCATCCAAATCAGAATGAAATATTCAAAGAAAACCAGAATATTCTCTTCTGATTTTGATGGACATTTAATTAACTTAATAAACAAGCTACGGATTATTTAGTATACAAATTTAGCTACAAAAAACGTAAGTCGCTTTTTAAATGAACAGTTCAACCTGAGATTTTAGCGAAACCTTAAGTGACAATTTATTACGAATAATTTTAAATTACAGTAGAATCCGGTTATAGCGACACTCAAGGGACCGTCGATTTTACGTCGCTATACCCGGAGGACGCTCTAACCAGAAAGAGTAAAAAATACTTTTTTCATTTTTTTTTTTTTTTACGGTTGCCATAGCTTTTACTATAAAACAATTTAAATTTCTAATCAAAATAACCATTTTTATAAACTTATTTTAATAACATGGTTTAGAAACATTTTTGTGACGTCGGCATGCACTTTGTCTCTCTCCCGCTCTATGTCTTAGCAGCATTTGTGGCGTTGCTACGCACACAAGCAAGGGTACTGATCACTGATCAATACATACATGTATACATTTCTAACAGAGTCTTTGTATGCTGAAATTTGTTGTCATTATTTCGGGATTTTTTGTTATCACGTCGTAATAACCGGTGATTGACTCAAAAATATGAAAAAAATCGTCGGCATAAGCGAATTGTCGTTAAAAGCGGAGACGTACTAA